TCAATTGATGAACAATTAAAATCCACAATCGAGTTAGATGACGGACCCAGCCTAAGTTCACCTTGGCCCATGGGAACAGAATCGTGGCATATTCACGAAATCAAACCACAACGAATTCTAGATCTCCCTGAGAAAATGTCGAACATTCAAACAAGTATTTCATCTAACGAGATAGTGTCTCAAACCGATGAAGTACACAGTCTTCAAGCGCTCAAAATTATAGAACTAGATGTACATCAACTCACACCCACTGGAAAAAATTCTCAAAATGCCGAAACATCATCACAGCTTTTACGTGATGTTCCATTAGTTCACAAGCAGCAACAAAGTCACTTTGAACCATCACAAATAACAAATGTACGATACAAGCCTAACTTAAGGCTTTGTCGACGTCATACGAATCAGAAACATCGGTTACATAACTTAGTATCCACCTCAAAACAATGGTTTACAAAGTCGTTACTCAATGTTAAAACAATTAAAATACTTCGGGATCTCGAATCACTTTTATTCTATGTGATACTTTAAAATATGACTTAGTTTTAAAACACATTATTTGGATTTTAGCCCCTTGGATTGGTACGGATATTTGTTTTGAATTTATCGGTACACGTTTGGCTAAACATAAGTAATGGTGCTCGAACATATATTATTATGAATTTATAGGAACTTTAGCTAGTTCTACGAAAATCCTTATGAATCTCTATTAAACCCGATGAATTATTAAAAAAGGATATATATGGTATAAATATTATAAATATTATGATTTTTATATACGATAAATCCTTATGAAGTTGCACGAGTTACAATATACTATTACGAATGAATATGAAGTTTTACAAATTGAAATATATTAATTAAACAGAATTCAACTGCACACATCAACGATGAGAATAAATTTATTCAGAAGAAATTAACATAAGGACGACGATTAAAGGCAAGGATAAAAGTATTATATACAAACGTTCATAAGGACATTCATCAAAGGCAAGGATAAATTCATTCCGAAAAATTTTACATAATGGGATGGCTCGACAAACAAAAGAGAGTATTAACAAGACAAACGTTGATGAGGACAACTATCAAAGACAAGGATAACTGGATTGGATGACAGTTTCATCACTTAAATCCACGACTACCTGATAATTTCTGTGATAACGTTAGTGAGTAATTGAACATTAATTTGTCGCAACATGTACTTTTTCTTACTATATTCATATATATCCATTTCTTTTTCATTCTACTCCACACGCATCAGTATACTTATGATTTATTCATATCATTTTTTTGCTTCATATGTGCTCGCGTTTTCTTTTCTTTCCTTTCCTTTTTATTTTACTTTATTTTATTTTATTTTATGTTAAGTTTTTTTGCTCTCGCGTTCATTTTGTCCCTGAAATATGTACAATGTGCTCTTTCTCATTCTGTTTTCATATAATTTATGCTATACAGACGCTCGGGAGCGCGTCTCAATTAAAGGGGAAGATGTACCAAGAGAATAGGTGGACATCCTCTCAAATATACCCCCCCCCCCCTTATCACATTTATCTTTCTCTTGTTCTGTATCTTTCGCTTGTTCTGTTTCTTTTCTCTTTCTTTTCGTATTCTGCTTTTTATAATATACTCAGTCTTAACACGTACACTGGAGACGAAGGTTGGACTCAACATGGTGAACAAAAAATTGTTCTGCATTGTATTGGAAGACTCGAAGACGGAATAGAGTCTGAACCTCAAGCTTAGTAAAGAAGCAACATGAATCACTATTTTATTTTATTATTACTATTATATTGTCGTCGTATTTTCCTTTTATTTATTCAATAAAAGATTCATATTCACTATATATTTGATTTATTCTATTTTCCGTTACAATCAGTTCTATATGAAAGTAAACAAAGGACTCTATTGAAAAACTCAAATCCAAGCGCGATACTTAAACCCAAACTCATCAACTCCAGACGATTCGGATTTGACTTATGTCTATACGTGTCAGTATTTGGATAGCAGTCGCTGTTGCCACTGTTCTACTGTCTGCTTTTTATTTTTACGATATCCTTTTGCGTCTTATTATTTATTTATATTTCGGTGTTGTTGGTGCTGCTGTTGTTGCTTCTATTTTGCTATTTTATGCTGTTATTGTACATCCACTGTTCGCTGCTTTACATAATCGTGTTACCAATATTCATGACATTATTGTATGATGTACTTATCTTTTCTATAGCATCACCGTGCATAACTAGAGTAGGACTTCTTAACAATACGTATGTAAGTGTCAATGGTTTCTCGATGAGAAGACAGCAGAGCGGCTATGGTCAAAACGCAGTTTACATGGATATACTGGCTTGGTAAAGGTATATCGAGAAGGGATACATTGAAAAGTTATGATGATTGAGGGGTATTAGAAAGCGTGTTCTTTGCTTCTTCTTTGACGATGTATGCACGAGTGGGTTTTTCCGTTATAAATCCGCTTGGGTGAACTTCTTGATATACACAATGTAAATGTACCACTTTTATTATAAATATTACATCGTGAAATAGGCATATCTAATCAACTTCTAAAATTTTTTGAGACGCTCTAAAAGTTTGCTAGGAGTGCGGATGAGGACGAAGATATAGACGTGAACGAATGTGAGTGTGTGTGCAGATACGGATCTTCTTTTTTTGATAACTCCTCATCGACACCCACATCCTCAAGGAAATAGCCTATCCATTTCCTACTTTCCATTACAACCATCTATGTACAACAGTAACTAAATATTTTGTAAGTAAAATAAGAGTACAGTTAGAGATGTGAACCGATGAATTGATCGTCAGCAGCATCTGATAATTTTTATTTCTTTTAAATGTTCAACAATAACTGCGAGAAACAAGCCATTTTTTGTTTTCAGTGACGACTAAACTTTTTTAAATGTTGTTATCAAAACATTTCAATTCTGAAATTTTTTTTCAAGATGAATGAGTTAAGGAGATGTCCTCCGTCACAAAGCCCAGTTTTTCAAAAAAATCAATACTAATTTTTTTACATGGAATGATGCGCCGAAATTTTCTCTTCTAAAATATATGTAGCTTTCGTATTAATAACTTAGTTGTAATAAACGTATCAAAGATTTTTAGCAGAGATGGAACCGGCCGTTCGGTCCGGTCGTCAAAAAATCGGATCGACTCCATGTATGGGTGTGGGTGGAGTTATGAATATTGTATTCATCTAGTACACACACCCCGCCTGTCGTGTTTTTTAGCTTTGTTTTTTATGTAATCACGCATAAACTTCACAATTGTATTGATATTTATTTAGAATATCTGATTCCCTATCTAATATTTGGTGTAAATATCTGCTGCTTATGTAAAAATATCTTATTTATGTTGAAAATAAACTTATACACACAATAACGCATTAAAATCGTGACATCTGAAAGCACTCCTTCTACGAGAAAGAGCTGAGCGAGTCTGTTGCCGAGCGTTACTTGTTTTTGATATATTTTACATAAGTAAAGTTAGTACCATAATCAAGTATTTTTTGTCCGGATTCGCCTAAAATTTGTGCTGAATCTAGAAATGGTTGTGTTAGATGCAGAATTTAATTCTCTATCGAATGATGTTATTTTAGAGGTGGGTCATCGGGGATGCGGGTTTAGGTAAGGGTAAGGGTATGGGTGGGTGGGTGTACCGATATCTTTATCCCGATGTCTCCCCGCTAAAATAACATCATTCGATAGAGAATTAAATTCTGCATCTAGCACAAATTTTTAGGCGACTCCGGACAAAAAAAATCCATTATGGTACTAAGTTTACTTACGCATGAATCATCATGTCCAGTAAGTTCAGTTACATAAAAATGTGTGCGTCACCGGAAAGTGTTGGATAACGTTAACTTACTCCATTTTTTATGCGCTTTAAAAAAGTCCGATGAAATATATGGGAAATATACTAGTTTGATATGATTTTTTTAGATTTAAATGAAAAAAGTTCATTTCTAAAACTTCTTTAGCGTTTTTCTCAGAATATCTTGAGGATGGGTGTGGGTGTGAGAATATTTGATATAGAACACCCACAGCCACACCCAACTTTTCTTGATAAATCTATTCGACGAAAATCGATTTCGTAAATTTCATTTTCGGCGAATTTCAGTCAGCGAATGTAGACTAAATGATTTCATTAGCACGACTCATACCACATCAATAAACAAATATAAATTGGAAATTTCGAGCTTTACAATTTTCTCCTTACCCAAAGCTTTTTATTAAAAGTAACTGCCAGCATCAATGTTTTTGTCTTATTAGCAAGAAAGTAGCAATAGTTTATTTTTTTTCCTTTTTTTTCCTTTTTTCATCCATTAAATATGTAACTGCATAAAGTTGTGATTTTCGAAGATTTTTTTGTCTTCAAAAATACACTTGAAATTTCAGTCGATGACTATACACACTAAAAGAAAGGTCGTTTCATGATTTTTCTAGAAAAATAAGAAAGGAAGTATTTTAGTGGGTAACTATAAAGGTTGGTCGACTCTCGTTTGTTTATTTCACAACGCTTATATAACAAATGTAACGAAAAGTATTAGAAGAAGAATAATCTCTACTTAATAATTCATACGCGGCGGTTGTATCTCACAATGGCGAAAATTTTGAGTTCAAGCTTTATATTTTTATTCTATGTGCTACTTTTAGTGTAAGTATTAATTATCAAGTTCTACATTTTATCTACTATTTTCTTCATCTTCAACGATAGAAATAAATCAGAACATCAACAACAACTAAGTATTTAATAATAATGACTACGATTTTTTCTATTTTCTTCTTGTTTATTTCTTAGTTAACTGAACAATAGCAACATGTAACTTCACTGCATGTAGTTCTCAACGAATATCATGTTTATCGAATCTTGACTGCGATTGTTTTTCATTAACATCCAATTCGCATATAGGAATATGTGCTTCAACTATTTTCTCCTGTGCAAGTGTTGTACGATGCAATATGGACAATGAAACTTGTTCAATCGAGAGTGCAATGTGTGTGAACAGTACACGATGTGGTCAACCAATATGCTATCCATTAACTATAGCAAACAAACAAATTTGTCCACCAAAGACTTCTACAAGTGAAAAAGATTTCTAATCACTATTTTAGTTTTATCTGTTTTTTCTTTTAAAACAGCTACAACATTACGAACAACAACTACAAGTAAGGAATTTTGTCTTACAAATGTGAAAACAATTCGAAGAAAAGAAAATAGTTGATCCAGAATGAATTATTTCTATTTTTTAATAGTACGTACAATAAGCACAACTAAATCTGTAACAAGGAGTAAGCGTGATTTCATTATATTTTCTTTTTGAAATGTGTTTATTTTGTGGCTAACTTACCCTTTTTTATTCAGCTATAGCAACAGCTCAAAAGACGACGACTACCACTAAAATATCGGCAACAACATCAACATCATCCGGTATAATATGCGGTATCCTTGCCACTGACTCTAGCTCATTGCTTTTTTTCTTTTGCGTTTCAGTTCATTTGAACAACACAACCAGTCAATCTAGTACAGCTGCTAGTAAGTAATAGAAAATAAAGAAAACTGAAGATGTCATAATGACATGTGAAGAGATTTTGTGCAATACATATGACTACTATTCTCAGTCTATATAAGTTTGAGATGATATAAAACAGGCATCAAAGACTGTCATTTTTAGAATAGTGAATGTTGATTGTTTGATTATTTAATGTTGTATAGTATAAATATATAAAATGTAACTTCTAGATTGGTTTTCTACTGGCAATATGATTAATGCACGAGACTATCACACAGCACCTGTATTATCAAATGGAAAAGTATTAGTTATTGGTGGTACACCCAATGATTATAGTTCTTTGAATAGTGCTGAGCTATATGATCTATCAACAAGTACTTGGACAATTACTAGTAACATGATTAATGCACGAGAAGTTCACACAGCATCTGTATTATCAAATGGAAAAGTGTTAATTACTGGTGGACGCATTGATAATTTGAATTATTTAAACAGTGCAGAATTATATTAATTATCTCAAAAAAATTGACGTTCAATTATTTTATTTCTTTTCTTGCAAGTAATCCAACTTGCAAACAAAACTTTAATTAGAAGAACTCTAATTTTGTGATGTCTGCGAACTATTTTCGTCCATATTTTTACTGAATTATCACACTTTAATAATTTTTTTTCGATACCAAATAAAAAAGAATATTTTTGTTTTTTCATTCTTGCAGATCAATTTATTAGGAGTAACAAAAGTTATAACCGATACGATAACTTTAATTATCCTTTCAAATCCTCCGTTAATTTTATAGTGTAATTTTTCGTAATATTTAATTATTTTGATAGTATTCATCTGATTTGGAACGTATAATTATCGAAGCTTTTTAGTTACAGAAAGAGGGTGGGTGTAGGTGTCGGTGTATCTGTTCGAATAATCTACAGTCACATCCGTACACCTCACCAACATCTTTAAGGTTACAGTGCAATATGCGTAAATATACTTAAATTTAATGTAAATGAATTGTACCATTTTATAACCAAGTAAAAATATTAAATAATTTACAAACAAGTCACTATCAAACGGATGAAACAATTAAAACATTTTTTGAAAATTTGAATGAATTTTATTCTTATGACAATTATTATAATCAATGTGAAGTTTCACATATTTTAATATATTGACAAAATAGATTAAGATCAGTACGACAATCGTTTTCCTTTCTTTTTGTATTGAATTATTTATTCAGCTGTTATATTCGACCAAATGTTATTTTTCTCATCTCAACTTAACCAATTTTTAATATTCAATTTGATTTAAAATTGAGAAGCTGGGTGTGGGTATATAGTTTAACTATAGTCACACCCACACTCACCCACACCCATCTTCCCGTGTATCGGGGGGGGGGGGGGGAAAGAACCTTCTCCTACGAAACCTTTTTAAGTTCGGAACACTAGAAAAAAAGTTTCATACTACATCCTAAGGTTCTTGTGGAGTTTAATACGAAACCCTAAAAGTTTCGTAGAAGAAGGTTCTTCCCTCCGGTACACGGGAAGATGCTTTAACTCTCGAACGGTTTTTGTGGGTCCGACACGACCCACAACACTGTTTTTTTGATTTTTCTACACGAAGACGCATCATTTTCGGGGCTATCTCTCTGCTAATCGTTAGTCATATGATGATGGATATACACCATATTGAACTTCGTACTAAAGCCTTCCGGTTAGAAAACTGAAGTGTGGGTCTATACGGACCCTTGGACACCTTTGATGTTATATAAGCGATTTTAATACATAATCCGCCTGTCATCTAAATTTTTAGAGTTTATTGAATGCAGATTAGTTACTATAACACTACCAACAGTAAACCATTTACCTTCTTAAACGTTTTTTTGACAATTTTGTTATATTCATTCAGTAACATTTTAAAATCAAAATTTTATCATAACCTTTTTTCAGAAACTTTCATGAAAAAAACTCGTTGTTTTTATACATCACAGGCATACTAATATATTCACGCTTTGATAAAAATTACGGTATAAGGTGTAATAAACCGCATCTACTACAGAATTGATGAAGAATCAAGTATATCTAACTTATTTATATGTGGGTCTCTCTGGACCCACAAAGACCATTCGTGTGATAAAATGGGGATACCGTTCGAGGGTTAATGGTTTCGTAGTATGTTTTATTGTGTTTTTCAAAATTTGAGCATGTTTAGAGACTTCTTCGCAATGGCGAAACCTTTTAACTTCACAGGATTCTTCAGATTCAGAATCTTGAAAGATCCTTTCAGGATTTCTCGAGGAATGAACAAGATTGAGACTCGGGCCACACCTGCATCGCCACCGACACTTACACTCTGTGCCTGGTTAATTGGTTGATAATGATAGTCTGAAATCGAGAATCCCGTCGAAAAAGAAAAGATACAAGTATATTACTCTATATATCCCTTTTGATAAAATAGATATTTAAACAAATCTCATGGTTTAAGGGTGGGTATATAAGTGAACTATAGTCACACCCACACCCACACCCTCAAGAAATTCGTCTGAAATGTGTGTCAGCTTTATATCCCTTACGAACTAGTACATGAGCGAAGAGTAACGGACGGGGATAACTGGAACGATTTGTTTTTTGTTATTTAATTCGTTTAAGCCAGCCATGTGCATGCTGTGAATAGTAGAATATTTCTGCTGATCTGTCTACTTTATACGTATAGTTTAAACGATCTTTCATTTCACTTTGGTATTGTATAAACCTTCTGACAGCAGCTAACGGACCGTTTAATGGATGTTTAAGTCGATCTAGTTTTGTATCCTGAACTACTAAATATGAATTAACACTGACAAATTCAGCATAATTCAATAAATCTTTATAAACGGTGTGTCCATCATGGGCAGCGTCATGACTGACAAGGATAGTTGTGGAATTTGAGACATACTGTTTAACTTTGGCTAGTACGTTCAAGTCGGTTGTGGATCCCTGAATAAACTGAACATATTTTTTCCATAACTTGTTATCCGATGGATTAACACAATGTTTACAGATCAGTCTATTACTGGGTACCCAATTTTCCGTAAATGATTTCACGTCAATAGTAAGAACAATTCCGGTGTCACTATAGAACGACATGATCGACGCAAAAAATAACGCTGAACCGCCAACATTTGTGCCTAAATCAATTATCAAATCAGGTTTGATTTCCCAAATCAGTTGTTGCAACACCATTGCATCTTGAGGACTAGACTGAAATTGTGCTCCTAACCATGAGCCAGCACTAAATAGATAATCGTTTTCAAACAATACATCATAGCCATATAATATGTCGTCGACACTAACGAAGTGATTATAGCCCAAATCTATGACACGATCACCGCCCACAAAGATAGCGTTTTTATCTTTTTCTAGACGTCTTTTTGCTTGTGAACTAACAAATGCCGGCAGTGAGCATTTCTCTGAGAGAAATGTGTCATTTTGACGGTCATCACTCGTTGAATTTCTTTTCTCTGACTGTGCTTGTTTTACCGTATTATGAGAAACGGACTTGTTGAAGTTTTTGCAAAAAATGGATGTAGGAAGATAAGAAGCGCATAACATTAAAAGAAGTATCAGCATAATGCAAACTAAAGTTTTTAATGTCCAAATTTTTGTAAAAAAGCTAGTATTCATATTTATCCACCACATTGAAGAAGTTTATAAATTTTTGCTTATATTTTGACTATTTTTCAGACTAATGAGTCGGTATCGTTCGCATAAGAACATTAACAAGTTGAAGTAGAAGATCTATAGTAACTGTGACGAAACATTGTAATATAATGATAAATTTTAATGTAGTTTTTTATCATCGCGGATACCGCCAGCTTTTATCGTAAATCTGCCATCTCTCGATTCTCACTTTCGACGTGATAGAAAGGTAGAGCTTGAAATTCTGCATCTTTCTGTATATTTAGTTATCCTTTTGATGAAACATTAAAGAATTTTTTCAAGACCACTTTCTCTTAGGGGTCTATAAGTCTTTCATAGATTTTTAGAGAAAATACTGATAATTATAGTACAAATGTTTTTTTCCTCTATTTCAATCTCAATGTCAAAACTGACGACGTAGATCGATGCAGTTTTTCACGCTCTACAAAACCACATATTTTTGATATTTCTTAAAAATATTTTTTTCAGTTATATAACATTAAAAATGAATTAAATTTACCCAAAAGTACTGTTTATGTGCAGTGTCTGTGATTTTTCATATTTTTCTAAGATGTTTTTTGCACGTGAAAATGGAATTAGACATAAACCAATTTTATATCAAAAACTGCGCCATCTCACGCTCTACAAACCTATATCGTTTCTAAAAAAACAAATTCTGTCTTAAGAGTCATTTTCAACTAAACATTGAAAAATGTATAGATATTTTAAAGTGCTGTGAATCAGGCTTCGTAGTTCTCCTATATTTCCTATATTTGGGAGAAATCTATTTTTTTTCCAAATGAAATATACGTTGTTTGGCTCAGCAACAACGCAGAGCTTCTCTACATATGTCATTATAGCTTTTGCGATAAAACGAATGGCTACGAGAAACAGTATATTGATTTGTCGACGTACCGCGCCACTTCGCATATGAAGTTTTGAAAAAATTTTTTTCGAGTTAAAAAGATTTGCACATGCTACTAGACGCACTTTTTAACGCTGGTTACGAATCCGACATTTATTTTGTAAAAAAATCATATTTTCTCGTCGAAAACTGGGTTTTAAGCTTTTCAAAAATCATATTTCGATTTTTCTAACCATGAAAGGTTTCTTAAAAATGCAGACAGGCATGCTACTCAATGCAGAATTTCATTCTCTGCAAAATGTCCTATTTAGTTTTGGCTTTACTAGCAAGTAACAACTTTTAACCTCTTAAATCGTTCCTAACTTACTGCTCAGTTTTTGAGTTCCCATGTCCATGAATTAATCTAATTCTTTCGTAGACCCTTATTTACACAGTAAAAACAAACCGGTAAAAACTTCAAATCATTGGGACGATATTAACTACCTCAAAAATGGCTGACAAAGAACTGTGACAGTGTTACGCTTGTTTTTTTGTATTTTTCACATAAATAAAAATAGCTAAAATACAATATTTTTGCCGTTGAAGAGCTCGTTCAAAGCTCTACAAAATTGACTCTAGGAGCATTTCATTTGGACAAACTATGTCGCAAGTAATTAGAGTTTTTTCGGTGGTACTGAAGAAAAAGGGTCTTTTTATGTTATAGTGTTGCGCGACAATATAACTTTTCTAAATGTCCGAAGTTTTAGCAAAAAAACATCTTTTTTTGTAGAATAAGTAGATTTCGATAAGCTGCAACGAATGGCGTTTGAACGAACTTTCTAGCCATTAAACTTTCCGAGATAATCGAAGAAGAGTGTGTCCAAAACGTAACAGCGTTACGTTTGGACAAGCCGATATTCCTATTTTATGATTTATCGGCATACTCACCATTGGGAAGAATCGTTCTTTTGTTTCAAATTCTTTCATAGAAAATGACTAATTTTATATTTTCTAGAATGAATTTCGTGTAAGATCTTACTTATCAATTATATTTATTTTCACGAATAGTATGAAGTTAGTTTTGGACTAATTCTATTTTAAATTACATTGATTTGAAGGTATAACTCTATGCCAAAGGACACCAAATTCAATCTAGTATGATGTGGATGTGGGTGGAGAGATTTTCATACAGTAACGAACCCACATCCTGTTTCTTTTTTTATATTGCTTTCACAAAGACAAGTAACACTCCTCTGAGGACTCGCTTAGCTCTCTCTAGTAAAAATGCATTTCCTTCACATTTACCGGAAAAACAAATGGAAACCGTGAAAAATCAGTTTTCGATGTTTTTTGACCTTTCCACCCAGCCCTCTCTTCACCCACCCACCCTTAATCATGGTCACTCAACAGATCTTAAATTCGAACTCCCTGCATCGAAAAACCTCTAGAAATGTCTTTTCTAGAAAATTGATTTTCAGTGTTTTTTTGACCCTGCGGACACACAAGCAATCAATCAAGCAAGCAGACAATTTATGACTACTAGACTCTTCTCTACGAGAAAGAGAATATTAGTCAACAATTGTTAATAAATCCAACGGCGATCATAGTTCCTTTTAATTATTTTATAATAACTTTTTGAATATCTTCTCCAGTAATTAAAATGTGTATATTTGAGGGTGTGGGTGTGGGTGTGATGTGAGTGAGAGTGTGAGCGTGGGTAAGGGTGTCGATGAACAGAAGAGTATCACCCACACCCACCTCTATATAATATTTACCGAGTATTACCAGTGCATTGACTATTCTTTTCATATTTTTTCTTTTTCTATTATCATCACACTTAACATATATTGAACGAGTTCAATTTTACCCAGTATATGTTAGGTGGCCATGTTTGAAAAGTATCTGCCACTAAAATCTTTTGGCACATGTCTTGAGCTGGAATGTACTCATATTTTATAAAAAAATCAAGCACTATAGTTCTTTTATTTCTGTATCTGCGAACATTTTCCTATTCCATTTGAACGATAGGTATTTCTAAATATTTGAAAATTTGATGGTCTTCATTGCAAAGGAAATGTTCAGATCCTTCGATATCAGTTTTCAAAATAGCTCGCCGAACGTTACTCTGTTTCAGAAAAGGTAATATGTCATCAAATCGTATCGCTCTTACAATAAAACCATTATTTAAAGGAAGATTTATAGAACTACTATTAATAATAGCCTGAGCTCCAATGTTGCTTCGTATTGACTCTATTTGCATGTATTTTCCTGACTCTGAGAATATTGGGTTTAAAACATTCTATTGCTATTACAAATCGATTCAACGCAGCAGCAAACGTTGTATACGTGCCAATATTGGCTCCAACATTGATAAAAGACAAGGATGGATTAAGAAGAAGAACATGAAATAATCGATTTAATTCTTCTTCCTTCCATATTTTATTTTCTAGGATAAAATGACTTATAAGATCATGTATTGAATGGACACATATAGTTGTACGAACTACATTCAATAATAACTTGATTTTTACACAGGAAATGTTCTCGTTTATGTTATTATATAAATTAATGACATTTGGTTTAAAAGATATGTTAATATTCCATGTTTTTGATTGTATAATTGTATTATGCAGAAAACCTGTAATTATGATAATAGCGACAAATACTCTCATACCTAGAAAATATTCAAGTTCATATATCCGTTGTAACGAATATCTGATTTAAGCTACAATAAAATCCACTATAAAATCTAGATACATCATGCAGAGTATAAGGTTGCTTTCAAACTTCTGTTTAGAATAAGTTTTGAATTTTAGATACTCATATATCATTATTCTTTTCGCATACAACCCATGTAAAAACATAGCGTAAAAATAGAATTAAAATCAATTTTCGCACGAACTACTAAATGATTAAAAGCGTATGATTGTCAGAGATTTTTAAACATTTTTCGGTTGATTTTCTCGTTAAAGCTTTTTTTACATAGGAATGCCGGCTAAATAAAGTCAAATTATATCTTTTCAAAGCAAAAAAACAAAAGACTAGTAATAGCTCTGAGTATACATAAGGAAAAATTAGTTATTAAATTTGAATAATAACTAAAGTCAGTGAGAAAGACTAAACGATTAACAGTTAAAAAATCTTCGTCTAGTTTGCTATCCGGTGTGATTCGTTCGAAAAACTGAGCCTACCCAAAAATGAAATCGTTCCGCCGCCCATGATTATAATCAATGTGAAGTTTCACATATTTTAATGTATTGACAAAATAGATTAAGATCAGTATGGCAATCGTTTTTTTTTGTATTGAATTATTTATTCAGCTGTTATATTCGACCAAATGTTATTTTTCTCAACTCAACTTAACTGATTTTTAATATTCGATTTGATTTAAAACTGAGAAACTATTTCTAAATTGAATAGATAAAAAAATGAGTATAATATTTTGTTTAAGAATTTTGATATTATTCATATTTAATATCTATTGTAATTGTGAATATATTTATCCAGGTTTAGTTTGGAATGATACAGATGGTAAATCTATTCAAGCTCATGCAACTGGTATTCTTATTGATCCAAATGATGAATCATATTGGTGGTATGGAGAATCTCTTAAAACTTCAACATTATCTGATCATGGAATAAATTGTTATCATTCAAAAGATTTAATCAATTGGACAAATATGGGTGAAGTACTTGGACAAAAACAAGTATTTATAAAAGATCTTTCAGGTCCATATGTTATTGAAAGACCGAAAGTTGTTTGGAATGAAAAAACAAAATTATTTGTAATGTGGTTTCATCTTGATAGTATTGATTATAAATATCGTTATGTTGGTGTTGCAACATCATTAAGACCAGATGGAACATTTAAATTTGTACATGCATTTCAACCTGATGGAATTCCATCACTTGATATGAATATTTATGAAGATAAAATAAATAATATTGTACGTGGAGTTTATCTTGTTCGTTCATGTAACAATGAATATGTTGGAATAAGTCAATTAACAGATGATTATTTAAATACAACGAGGATAATAAGTACAATTGGTGAACCGAGAGAAGGACATGCGATTTTTTATAGAAATAATCATTATTATATGATGACAAGTCATTTAACTGGTTGGTCGCCAAATCCAGCTGAACTTTTTATAACAAATCAAAATAATTTACATCATGCAAAATGGTATTCATTAGGAAATCCAACAAATTCTTCAATAACATTTAATTCTCAATCAACATTTGTTCTTCCATTTCCTTCAACAAAATATCCTGGAACTTATTTTTATATTTATATGGGTGATAGATGGAATTATCCTAATTTATTAAATGCAACTTATATATGGTTACCATTTACATTCAATTCAGATATAAATGTTACTTTAGAATGGAAAGATCAATGGTCTTTAACTGATTATTAACATTTTCTTCGTAAATTGACTTTCCTCCATCGTCTTTCATGCTCGTCTAGTAGTTCTCATGTTAACAAACTTTCTCTACCAATAAATCATCATGCACATTTATGCAAATGAAATAGTTAGAAAATGCTCAAGGACAAAAAAAATGAGTGTTTATGGACATCATTCTCTCTAGATGCAACTTCTATTGTCTGTCGTCAAGAAAACACAATAACAGAATGAAAAATTTGACAAGGTTGAAAAAATAACTGGATGTAGATTTGGTTTCTGATACGATAGTAATTAATCACAATTTTCTCCATCTCGTTTTTTAATTACAAAACAATCATAACTATAATTTCTTTTCTTGTTCTTGACGTTAACATTGTAAAAGGAGAAAGAAAAAAAAAGACAACACTTGTTATTTC